GGCACAACTATGACCTGAACGAACACACACACACACACACACACACACACACACACACACACCCTGCATAGCCCTTCACAGATATAACTAGGCCTTATCTTGGATCTTCTTTCTATGTTGAAGGAGGTCATGAGATAGAGGTGCTCCCAGCTCATACCAGTCCCGAGTTCCTCACATGAACCCCTAAACCCAGGGGCTGGAAGAGGGTTTGACCACCTAGGGCCGCCACACCTGAGTGCACCTGGATATCCCAATCTGGGGCCCTTAGCCTCCCATAGCCCCAAGGGAGAACACATTTGGGGTCTAGGCATGTCTTAGAGTGTTCTCTGCGGTCTACCCAATGGGCATCCAGGCCTCATGGCAACGTGGCTTACACATTGGCTTCCCAAGGGCAGAGTGGGGCAAGGACTTCGAAGGCCTGACTCTGAGACCCCCGGCTAGTCCCCTGCTAGGCGGAAGCCCTGCTTGCATTCCTGCTGGGCCCCAGCTCTAGGCCGCTGCACAGGTGGGTGCTTTGAGTGTGCGTGTGGAGGACCACCAGGGGGAGATTGATCAGCGTTTCCTATTCCTAGCCAGTAGGCCATTTCAGCAGCCCCTGCCCCTCCCTGGGACAACGGAAGAGGAAGCACAAGAAGCAGAGCTATATCTTAAGGTGTGTGCCACGTTTCCACGCTTCTGCTCCTGCATCTGGGATAATTCTGTTGCCTTCATCCGTGGTACCAGCAGAGGCCCTTTAAGACAGACTCCCTCCCACAAGGGAAAAGAAGCCCAGGAAAACACCCCTCCCCATGGCTAGCCTAGAGAGGATGGAGTGCAAAGGGTTCTTCCATTCAGGTTCTTTGTGGCTCACCCCCTCCCCTGAGGGTGGGGCCCCTCTTCCTACTCGTTCAATAAGTCCAACTCACAGTGAGTGGCACTGGGCCATCGAAGGGTTTCCAACTCCAGTGCCCTGGGACACCAGAGAGAATCTGGAGGGCCTGGGGTAGGGGAGCCTGGAGAGGGACGAGACTCAGGCTGTGGGGCACAGATGCTGAGCGCACAGAACTGCACATCTGGCTGTGATGCAACCCGCTACTTCTGAGCCTGCCCACACCAGGAACAGGAACGAACACAAGAACACACACACATACACACACACACACACGCACGCAGACGCACACACATGGAGCTGCTGACAAAGTTCAGGGCCTGCTTCCATCCAGTTCCTTCCATGAGCTGGGGGATCAGGGACCTGCCGGTAGGAACCCCAGGGTATACTCTGCGTATGTGTGCCACCCCCCATCCCCCAACTATACAGACAGGAGACAGGTGCATTTGAGGGCAAAGCAGACAGTCTCAAAGACACTCACAAACACAGACCCACATCTACAAACACCCTCTTACTACCAAATCAGGTAAAATTGTGTTTTCTCCCCCACCTAAATGAAAGACACCTGAGCTCACACCCACCAACCAACCACCGATACAACTAAGGGCAAAGCCGCAGATGCAGGCGCACATTCACTCATCACCCTGGTTGCTGTCCCCTCTTCTGTGCCTTTCAGCCCCATCTCCACCTTTCCCTTCCTTTCATTTTCCACAGTCAATCCCAGGACAGAGAACCAGACAGCCTTCCTTTCTCCTGCCTCTGCACTTTTCCCAGCCTCCTCCCCAGCCCTTCCATCTTTATTAATAGCAGCAGCTTCCCAATACTAGGGAAAGTCTGGGCTCTGCCTGCCCTGGGTGGGGGGCGGAGTACACTAGGGGCTCATTTGTTCCCCTAGGCCTCTGCCTTTTCCATCCCTGGTGGTGGGGGGAGGCTCTTCTCTCCATCCCCCACCCACACTTCCTTTAAGAAACCAGAGGCTCTGTCCTGGCACAAAACCCCAGATCTAGCCCATCCGATTAGAAACTAATTATACAGCAAATTTTATTTGTTATCCCTGCCCTCAGCCTGTGGCAACCCTCCTGCCTTTTGTTAGTGGTATGTGTATGTTTTTTAATTGCTGAACAGTGACTCATTCTGACTGGTCCCCCTACAGGAAACAGCCCCCATCTACAACCGTCCCCTGCTCAGAGCTTCCTCATAACCAAGCTCCCCACTGGCCTCCACTAGCCTCCAGGGGCCCCCACCCATAAACACTCCCAGTCCTACCAAAGCCCAACCTCACCCCCATGATATCACACCCAGGCCCCAAGCTGGGGCTTGAGATGGCTCAGACAGTCTCAGGCCAACCCCTTCTTTCTGGTATGACTCAACCCTGAAAGCCAGGGGACCTGGGAGGAACCCAGGAGGAGCCCCCCTCCACTGAAGGGGACGGAAGTATTGCTTCAGTCCAGCTCCAAAGCCAGGCCAGCCCCAGAGGCCTGAGGGGGAAGGCGGTTTTGACATTGGCTGCTGCTACAGGGTGTATACAATGGGAGGGGATGCGGTTCCGTAATCACCCAGCCGGCAGCCCAGGGGAGCCAGCTGCCTGAAACCAGATTGCAAGGCGGCTCAACCTTAAACCCACAGGATTCTTCTTCCATCTTCCACTTCTCCTCCCCAAATGTGGGAGGGCTGTGATAGAGGGCTGGGCTGGGAGAAAAGCGCTCAGAGTGATGAAGACATACTTTAAGGTGTGTTCATGCAGACGCGTGCAATACGCACAGGCACACAGTGGGCAGCGATTCTTACACATGGGGAGCGGGCTATGGGGAATAAGCCGAATAGCTGAGATGCTGTCCGGTGATGCTGTTGGCTGTCCAGGCCTTGGCCAGATAGATACCAGGAGTTCTGCTCTCCCTCCGGAAGCTCCCCCTCCAGCCCCCCGCCCCCCCCAATGTGTTTCCACTAGGGCTTGAAACTAACATGGCTGCTTTTGTTTACTTCCTCATTGGTATGCCAGCATCATGGATCATGTCAGCCACAGCAGCGGCACCAGGACACTCATTACATAAACAGCAGCTGGAGAAGCAGGACCTGGGTCACTCCCTTTAGTGACTTCCCGTAGGGCCTACGGAAACAACGCCAGGGGAGGGAGCTGCGCGCAAAACAGAAAAGCAACAGCCAAACTCTATCCCTGACAGCCCCACACCTCAATTCTATAAATGCCTCACAAGATGCCCCTATGAGCACAGGTGCAGGAATATCAAGTACCGATCGGGGATCCTACTTCCCAGGACCTTGCCTCCAAACTTAAGGAGGAGTTTGTAAGGGAACCTCTGGCCTGATGTCACAAGAGTCAGCCTGTCCGGATGGGTGATCCCCAGGCGGTAGGGAGAGAGAGGGGGAGAGAGAGAGAGGGGGAGAGAGAGAGAGAGTGTGTTTGTGTGTGTGTGTTGTGCGTGTGTTTGTGTGTAGGGTACTTGCCCGGATCTCATTCCTCCGGATCTCCACGTCGCACACCGAGTGTCCCTGATGCGCACCGCTGTAGTAGCAGCAGTACTGGCACACGGCCACCTGCTCGGCCTCGCAGTGGTAAAGGCGGTAGGCGTTGTGTTGCGGGCAGCTCCAGGCCCGCACATCGTCCGCCTCCACCAGGAGGTGCCCGCGGGCGGTGGAGGGCTGCTGCAGGTGCGTCTGCACGTGGGACTGGCAGCAGGGCGCCTCGCAGCGCAGGCAGACCTTCTGCGCCGGCAGCGGGGGGCCACGGCGGCAGAACACGCAGTGCAGCGCCGCCGGCGGCTTCTCCACGTGCAGGGCGTTGAACTTCTCCACGATGTTGGTGAGCTTCAGGTTCTTCTCCAGGCCCGGCTTCTGGTTGTAGGCCTGGTTGCACTCTGGGCAGCGCACCAGGCCGCTGTCCTTGGCCCACGCCTCGCCAATGCAGCCCCGACAGAAGTTGTGTTTGCACGGCAATTGCACCGGCTCCACGAAGACATGCAGGCAGATGGGGCAGATGAGCTCCTCCTCGAAGCAGTTCTTCCAATTCTCCGCCATAGCGGCTGCGGGCAGGGGGCCCGGGCAGGTCTCCCCAACTCCCCAACTCTGGGGGTCCGTCCGGTGCCACTACAGGCCCACGAAGCCCCGAGCTCCGGGCCCCGGCGGCCCCGAGAGTCGCTCAGTCACCAGCGCCTTCCGCGCGCCCGCCCCCCAGAGGAGGGAGCCTCGGTCCTCACGCAGCGCGCGCAGCCGGCTGCGTCTCCTCCTCCTCCTCCCGAGCGCCTAGCGGGAGACCGCGGACTGCGCCAGGGCCGCGGCCGGGGCACCAGCCCTGGAGGGGAGTGCCGGGGTCCAAATTCCATATAAGAGGCCGCCTCCCGATCGGCGCGGCTAGGGCAGCGGCGGCCCACGGCCTGCACTCGGCCCCGCGGCTGACATTGGGGCGCGCCCCAAGGCGGACAGAGCCCGGGAGCCGCACACTTCCTCCAGCGACGGCGGCGGCAATGGTGGCTCTCTCCTGGCTCGCCGGCGCCGCGCCTCCCTCGCCTCGTCCAGGGTCTGAGAGGCCGGAGAAGCGAGTGCGGCCGCGCCAAGGACTGCTAGATCCGGACCAGGAGGGCGAGGCAAGCCGGTCCCCGGGCCGCGGCGCGGGCGCCCCCCGGCTGGCCGGCCGTCTGCGGGTGCGGGCTGCGGGGCGCAGGCGGGCCGACTCCGGGGCACTGCGTGAGCGCAGGGGCAGTCATTCAGATGAAATTCCAGTCCCCGGCCAGAGACACCAGCCCGCCTCTGCCTTCCTCCTCCCTTCACAAATAGAAACGGAAGGGGGAGGGAGAGAAGTGGAAAAAAAAAAACCAACCAGAAAGGGAGGGAGAAGAAGCCCCGTCGGTGCTCCGGCCTGACCCCCTCGTCGCTACTTCTGCGCTCCCCCGAGGCCCGGCGCCGGGCGCCCCCGCCGCGAAAGACCCCGCTCTCCGTCTCCGCGCTGGGCGGGCGCCCCGGCTCTGCCGAGGAAAACAAGGATTGATCAAACTAGAAAGGAATTTTTCTCAACTGCTAATGAACAGGAGGCTCGGCTCCCGGCCCTCCCCTCCCCCCGGCCCTCCCCCTTCGCCACCCCGGCCCCCCTCCCCCCCCACTTTCTTTTCTTCTCGGCCTCTCCTCCGGCCTTCGGGGCTGCGGTCGGAGCCAGCCCGCGGCGGCGGGGCCGGGCCAAGCCAGTCGAGCCGGACTGCCTCCCTCAGCGCCCAGCCATCTTGGGCTCCCGGCGGCCGCCGCGGTGGCGGCCGGGGGTTCGAGCGCGCTCGCTGGAGGGTCCTGCAGCGTTCTTTCTATCTCTCTCTGTGTTTTTTTTTTTTGTTTTTTTTTTTTGTGGTGGGATTTTTTTTTAAGGGGAGTGCTGGCAGCCTCCCTCAAATTAGGAGAGAGAGAAGGGAGAAAATGCCAAGTCCCGATTTCTCTCCACCTCTGCTCCACCCACCCCGGTTCTTTCCAAAATATAAAAAAAGATTAGAATTGGAAGAAGTCGGCAGAAAGGCGAGCGCCCGCGGCCCCCGGCTGCTGCCCAGGCGACGCGTCCGGGGCGGGCCCGCGCCAGTTGCTCCGTCGGTAGGTCCGTTTGTCCGCCCGCTGCTTCTCATCTGGGGAGGGCACTCCGGGCAGGGTCTCCGCAGCGGCTGTCGCCTCAGAGCTTTATCCTCAGATCAAAAAAAAAAAAAAAGGAAGAAAAAACCCCCCAACACTCTCATCACAGCCACCTTCAGCCATCTTGCGCGTATTATTATTTCAGGAATAATCTGTTTAATAAAAATAGCTGCGTCTCTAGCCCCCTCCCCCGCATCCTGGGCTCCCCGCCCCCTTTTAATAATGATCTCGATAATAAAAATGATGTGCGAGCCGGGCAGTCCACGGCTGCCTTTTCCTGCCTCGGCTCGCTCGGGCTTCGGCTCTCCTTCTCCCAGGAAGGGGACGGGGGTGGGGGGGTGCTCGCCGCTGGGGCTGGGGTGTGGGGGGGGTGCGTCCCTGCTGCCCGCCAGTCGGCCGTCTCAGCCTTAGCAGGGAGGGAAGGGCACCCTCGCAGCTACCGCACCGTTGCGAGGACGGCAAGCGGGGGAGGGGCCCCGACTCGCGGGACCGGCTGGAGGGATGCACAGAGGTCCCCGATCTTCCCGCCACGGCCTGGCCTCGGAGTCTGAGCCCGGGGATAGGGAGGATACAATGGGCTCGGAGCAGAGTGCGGCTGGCAGGGTGGAGACGCGGGCGGGCAGCGGGCTGCGGTGAGCCGGAGTCCCGAGCTAGGGCGGAGAGAGGCGGAGGGTGGTGTCCCTACATCAAGGCCGGTCCCGCTACTCTGCAAGGGAAGGGCGGGGAGACTGGGAGGGGGAGGAGAGGAGAAAGCAGCAGCGTAACAGCGGCGCCTGTAATCAGCACCCGCTGGTTCTGCCCACCCGGCACTGGAGAAATAAGCAGACGCGGAAGGGGGGAGGAGGGGGCGGGGAGTATTATCCGGAAGTGCTATTACAGCTGCTGGGGCGCCCGGCTCCTCCCCTTTTCCCTATCTGGAGTTGGGGGCTGTTCCGGAGATTATTCCTGCTATTGGTCTCCAAACTGAGGCTCCGCCTCTTTAAGGCGGGGCAAGCCGTGGGCCTCATGTGACTTGCACTAACTTCGGTTACCTTAAACATTGGGGATGGGGGTTGAGTTTCCGCGCTTCTTAAAAGGGAGATGATAACATTGCGGGGTGGGACCACATCTTTCTGGGCCTCTTCACCCATAGCTCTTTTTACCTGAGAGGGAAAGGAGGGTTTGTCAGTCTGCTCATCTGTCAGATGGAACTGAGCAGTGACTTACAAAGGTTCACTGTGCAGCAATTTCCCGATATCCTCAATACTTTTCCCTATATATATTTTTAAATACGTTATTTATTTATTTATTTTTGGCCAGGCCTCGTGGCTTGCGAGATCCTAGTTCCCTGACCAGGGATCGAACCCATGCCCCCTGCAGTGGAAGCACGGAGTCTTAACTACTGGACCACTAGGGAATTCCCTTCCCTACATTTCTAACTTAGAACTACCAAGCAAAATATGCATTATCTCTCTTCAGTTAATAAGGAAATGGAGGCTTAAAAAACTGGGGTCAACCAGTCAGTTAACAAATATTTAACAAAAGCTTCATGTCCCAGGCGTTTTTCTAGGCCCTGGGGATTCCCTGGAGAACACGTACCAAACTTTTTTTAAAAAAATTAAATATGTAGGATAATTTCTGTGATAGAGAGTACGGGACTCACACAGTACTCTCAGAAAAAGTGACATTTGAGCTGAGACCTGACTGTTCAGGAGGGGTTGGGCAAGTGACAACCTGGGAAAAGAGTGCTTCAGTCAGGAGGAAAAACAAATGCAAAAACAATGAATCAATCAGGCATGTTCCAGGGCAGAAAGAAGGCCTGCGGTGAGGGAGAAGCCAGGTAGGGACCAGAACACACAGGGTCATGGTAAGGAGTTTGGACCTGAAGCTGGTTGTGAGAAGCTACTAGATTTGGGATATATTTTGGAAGTAGAGCCAATAGGACTAGATAGGATTTAGACATAGGGTGAAGAGGAATCAACGCATAATAGTAATGGGGTAGGAATGGGATCAAGATGTGCTTATCACTGTATATATATATAGTATATCCTTCTGAACTTATGATTTGCGCCTCAACAAGAGGCTGGGTGGTGGTGCCATTTACCCAGAAGGAGACAATTGGAGAGGATTAGGTTTGGGTGGGGACATTTTTAATAGTTCTAAGTTAAATCTGAGTTGGTTTAGCTATCCCAGTGGAAATCCTAGAGGAGACAATTGTATATACAGACTCAGAGGGGAGGTTTGTGCTGGAGATTATGGATTTCAGAATCATGGGCGATTATGTTCTGAATGGTAGGGACGTCCCTGGTGGCACAGTGGTTAAGAGTCTGCCTGCCAATGCAGGGGACATGGGTTCGAGCCCTGGTCCAGGAAGATCCTACATGCTGTGGAGCAACTACGCCCATGTGCCACAACTACTGAGCCCACAAGCCACAACTACTGAAGCCCGCGGACCCTAGAGCCCATGCTCCGCAACAAGAGCAGCCACCGCAATGAGAAGCCCGCGCACTGCAACAAAGAGTAGCCACAGTTCACTGCAACTAGAGAAAGCCAGCGCGCAGCAACAAACACCCAATGCAGCCAAAAAAAAAATTTTTTTTAAGGTATAACTGAGATTCAAACTCAGTTCAAAATGACCCATGGGTCCCTGATCCTTCCATAAAACCAGTGAGCTTCTCTGCTTCAGGACCTTCAATCTCCTTATTCCTGATTGGGGGGTGGAGGTGTTAATGTGGGCTCTTCAAGGACACAGCATGTGTCTTTTAGTACTTTACATCCCCTTACATGGAATGTCTTATGCTGAATGAATGACGCATGCATGCATGTCTGAGTGAATAAACAAGGAGAAAGTGGTTTTCTAGCCCTAATCCTCAATTCCATGCTCTAAAGACAGTGCAAAGAAACAAGGTCTAGATTGGAGCGTCCTTCTCTGGCCTCCTCACCAATGACCTCCAGGATAATCTAAAGGCTTCCACTCATTTATCACCTTTCTAGACGGCTCCCCTCGACTTAAACATCATACTCTTCTGATTTTCTTCATATCTTTCTAACCACAGACTTCTCCAATTTCCATCTCCTAAACGTTGGCTGCCCTCCATGCTCTTCTCTTACTAACCTATACCTGCTCCCTCATTTACTCCTAAGGCTTTATTACTGTCTATATACTGATGACTCCCCAATCAGTCTCCAGCTTAGATCCTCACCCTCCTGGGTGCAAACCCATGAAACCAACTGTGCTGTCCACCCAGATGTCCCACAGATACCTTGAATTCAACGTACTGGAAACTAAAATCTTCATCCTCTTCGCTTTCCAGCCTGCTGCCCCTTCAAAATGTTTGCAAATCTTGACTATTTCTTAACCTCTCCATTACTTCACCACAAACTCTTGCCTAATTATTTCAGTAGGTCCTAATTGGTTTCTGTTTCTGCCCTTATGTCCTGGAGTCAATTCTCAACAGAGTAGCCAGAGTCATCTTTGAAAAGTATGTCAGATTGTGTCACTCTTCTGCTCACTTTATAATTGCCAGCAAGGTCCTACAGGATCCGGCCTCTGTGTAAGTAATCTCCTATTATCCCCTTTCTCTCACTCTGCTCCAGCCCCACTGGCTGTTCCTCAAATACACCTGGTGTGTCTCCCATGCCCCACCCCTCCAGGCTCTTAGCAGTTGCTCCTCACTTTGCCTGAACCAGTCTTCCCGTAGATATCCCTACTGCACCCTTCTTCCTCTCATTGAGATCCTTTGTTCAAGTTAGCCTAGGCAGTGAGGCCTTTCCTGACCTCTGTATTTAAAATGTGCCCCTCCCCCAGCCCTATCTCCCCTCCTCTGTTGCGTTTTCTTTTCTCCATAGCACATAGCTCCATGTACTATGTATTCTACTTTAAAAAAATATTATCTTCCATTTCCAAAATATAAGATCTGTGAAAGGGGTTTTCTTTAATGCTGTGTCCCTGATGCCTACAGTGGGACCTAGCACATAGTAGCTGCTCAATAATTATTTGTTGAATCAATGAATGAACCCCATTCTCTCCATTCCTACCACTTCTACCCTAATCTAGGCCTGACTGGTCACCTTGCCTCCAATCTAGTTCTCTTTCAAAATGTTCTCCATCCAGCAGGCAGGGGGATGGTCCTACTGTGAAAGCTGGATGACTTAAGCCATGTACTCTAGGCAATTGGAACTCCACAGTTCCCAAGAAGAGTTTTGGGGCTTTGCCCATGTTGTTCTGTCTGCCTGGAGAGCTTTTCAAAGTATAGCCCCACCTTCTTTTGCCCAATTCATCCTTAAGCATCAGGTTTTGGCTTAGATGTCATTTCTTTCAGGAAGGTTTATAAATCTCCCCAGACTGGGTTGGGTACCTTCTCTGTGTTCATATCCTAGCATAGCCCTTTAATAAAGTGTTAACTCTAACTGAGCAATTACTATGTGCCAGGCATTTCATGTGTATTATCACATATAATCCTTGCCAAACCTCTGTGAAGTGAATATCCACTTTTAGAAGAAGAAACTGAGGCACAGATTAGTTAACGTGCCTCAAGTCAAACTGATAACAAGTGGTGGAGCTGGGGTAGGATTGAAAGCAGCTTACTGCCTTCCCCTTTTAGGGCTCTTGCAATTGTTTCCCGGCCCGTCTTCCCCCACTGCACTATGAGCTCCTTAAGGCCAGGCCTGTGAAGAGTCTCCCAGCATAGAGCTGAGTGCCTGCCACACGTTTGTTGAAAGGACAAGTGAACGTATTTTCTAGTTCTTACCATTTCCACAGTGTTATCGTAGTGGCTCAATAATGCTCAGGTGGCCTTCCTCTGACTTGTCAAAGTTAAGACCCAGAAGCTCCATTCTCCCTCCTTTTGGTGCTTTCAGCACTGAGACGGCGTGTGGGGTGGTAGTGGGTGAAATTGGCAAAACAGAGGAACAGCGTCTGTTCTTTTAGTTCTCTGGCCCCAGGAAGGCCACTGCTCACCTCACAACCCCCTCAAAGTCTCCCTTGCCCCTCAAGTTCCTCAGAAGGCTGTGCTCACACAAACCATGGACACCCACCAGCAGTCTTTTTTGCCCTTTCCCCACCCTGCCCGCAGCTCTCCCGAGGAGACTTCCTGCACTGAGGAGGAGGGGCTGGTTAGTCCCACCATAGCCCATGGAAGGGTCCCGAGATGGCCACCCCTCCCAGGCCACATCCTGCCCTGCCCTACGGTCTCGGTCTCTGGGACATTCCTCTCCCTTCTGCTGCCCAGCTAGTCCCTCCCCTCACCCCACGCTGGCCTCCCAACCTCAGAGCCTGGCAGGCTGGGTTGAGTCACTCATTTCCAGCATGCATTCTCCTTCTGGTCAGGCCAGTTTGGCAAATCTCTCAGGCTCCCCAGACCCATGGCCTTGGATTCTGTGGGTACCCCTCCCTAGGGCCCCTGATCCCCCAAATAGGGCAGAGCAGACTCCTGGAGGAATGTACAGGCTTTCGGAGGAGACATTAAAGATCACATGGACGGCTTCTCCCCTCCTTAAACCTAGGGACAGAGTCTCTGCTCTGGGTCCAGGAGCCCTTTTCTTTCCAGAAACAACCCCAGCCTACTCCTGTCTCCCGGAACCACCTAAGCACAGAATCTCGCTATTCTGTTTTCTTTGGGACAAGAACTTCACCCTGACCCTGGGTCCTTCCAGGCTAGTCAGATGAGGAGGATTAGATAAGCAACCTGCCCCCAGTCTCCAAGGAGAAAGGGGAAGGGGTGTGGCCTGGGCCACCCTGGGGTAGTCAGCCTGGCTCCAGACCCTCCCAGCTCCCTTGCTCTGACTGCCA